GCCTCTTTTGATCTGCGCATCCCGGTTTGCTGCTGGCACCGCAGGGCTATGCTACACTGCATGGTGGGAAGCTGAGTGGTTTCATGCATGTCACCCAGCACAGCCTCAATCCTTTGTCTGTCCTTGCTGTTCACCCACTGAATCCAGGAGAACTTCCTCCTTTATCCTTTGCTGGTTTGCACGGCTGCCCATGAAGGTGAATCCACTGATGCCTCTCAGCAGCAATTTAACCCTTCACTCCGTGCATGTGGTTTCCAAACCACACTGATAGGAAGGATTACAGCAGATTCAAAGCCGACTGATGGCTGCTTTCAGGCTCCCCACTGGGGATCGCAGCGCTCCTGTGCTCTGTAGCTGACAGGTTGAGATGCTCTGATTTACATCTGCTTGGAAAGCAGTGCGTGATGTGTTTAAACTCCATGGAAAAAGGGTTTGCATGGCTGAGGCTTTAACCACGCTGTTATAAACCTCCCACAACTCCACCCTCACCCCCCCAGAGGAATGACTCTGAGACCTCTCAGCTTTTCCATTACTTGGCCTGGATGGAGGCTGTTTGCTAATGGCCTGTGGGTCATTAGCCCATTGCAGGTGAGCCCCAGCTGCCTGCAGGGTGGGGGCCCAATCTGGCCCCAAGTTATCCCCCATGGCAACAAAATGGGAATGGTTAGCGGGGTGGAGGATGCTGGATCTCTTTCCTTGTTTCTTGCTTTACTTTCTCCTTCCTCTTCACTCAGACCTCTTGAGATAGAAACATAGAATAGTTAAGGTTAGAAAGGACCTTAAGAGCATCCAGTTCCATGGGCAGGGACACCTCACACTAAACCATGTCACCCGACACTCCATCCAGCCTGGCCTTGAACACTGCCAGGGATGAAGCATTCACAACCTCCCTGGGCAACCCATTCCAGTGCCTCACCACCCTAACAGGAAAGAATTTCCTCCTTATATCCAATCTAAACTTCCCCTGTTTCAGTTTTAACCCATTACCCCTTGTCCTGCCACTACAGTCCCTAATGAAGAGTGCATCCCCAGCATCCCTATAGGCCCCCTTCAGATACTGGAAGGCTGCTCTGAGGTCTCCACGCAGCTTCTCTTCTCCAGGCTGAACAGCCCCAACTTTCTCAGCCTATCTTCATATAGAGCTTAATATACATATATGCATATATATAGACATATACATACATGTGCTTTATATACATATGTAGTTTATGTGTATACATACATATATATATTGAACAACTGGTCCAGAACAGGGCACAACTCTGACTTCCACACACACAGGAATAACCCATGTGTGAGTCCATCTCTGCTGGGCAGGCTCCCCACCCTCAGAGGCTGGTGAAAGTGGGTGCTTGTGCTCACACTGATGAAGCCTGCCCATTAATTAGGCAAATAACAGGGCAGTGACCCCAGGGAAGCAGTGAGGGCTGGGAGACCAGAAGGTTTGTGGTGACACCTTGCCCTGGCAATGGCTACATCCCTCAGGCTGTGCTTTGGAAGGGTAGAAGATCCCTTCCTAATGTTGCTTGAGGAGTTCTGTCTGGATTGGTTAATGAGGGGAGTGGTGAATACCCTCACCTGGGGCTGATGAGGAAGTGGAGGCAGCTGAGGGAAGGGATGAGAGAAGAAGGGCTGATGTGGTGGCTTTGTGTGCTGAGAGGAAAGGTAGGAGGGATCTGAAGGGTTTGTGTTAGGATGGTTATGGTTCTCACTATCCATCATCATCATCATCTCTGGTGGTGTGTGGAGCTGCTGTGGCTTGTGCAGCCCTGATGTCCCACGAAGGACAGGTAAGTGGGGCAGCCCTACCTCCTCACCCTGCAGCCCTGGCATGGGGATGCCATGGGTGAACACATTACCTGCGGCTCCAGCCTGGCCCATGGAAACTGCCCTGGGGTATGTGGATGTTGCTCTGCATGGATTCACCCCACAATGCATGTGGCTTCCTTCTGCAGGGCATCAACTTGCCATAATGGCCCCCTCCATGTGGAAGACTCTTCCCCCTGGGTGTCTGCAAAGTGACTTCATGGAGACCCAAAGGAGGATGGAAACACCTCTGTCTTTGCTGTATGGACAAGCTCATGCTCTGAGGTGAGTCCTTTGCTTTGGGGTAGTGCCCTGCTCTGTGGGGTTTCTTGCAGGGCAGCCTCCCTGCATGATGGTGAGCTCCACCATTTCCAAATAAAGCTGCCTAGCAGTTAGATGGGAGTGAGTAATCCAACCGAGTGCTTTGCTCATGGCTCGCTTTGTTTGGATAACTGGGCAGGAATACATTGGAGCATTGGAATCCTCTTTTTCTTGTTGTAATTTACCATGTTTGCCAAAAGCCAATGCGCAGGGCAAGTGTTATCTTCATTAGCGAGCAGCGGAGATAGCACAGGGTTGACTCAGAGTTGCCTCAAGCCTTTGAAATGAGTTGTTTCACTCTTGCAGTTTATTCCTGTTTAATCCAGTGCTTTGGCAGAGATATTTATAGGGCCATATTGTATCTGTAATGCAGCAATGCACGAGGGCCTCTTCCTTGACTAGTTATGTGCTGCCCTTGGTCTCTGAATTATCTGCTTTTCCAGGCAGGATAAAGCTGCAGTTGTGATATGTGTAAGGTTAAGAGCTCTTAATGCTTCTCTGTTGGATACAGTGGTCATTTTAAGTCTGTATTTTTAAGGTCTGATCCTGCCATCGCTCTCACAGGAGCAGCAGGATTCAAAGTGGGGAAGAGTCATTCCTCTGTGCCCCATGCCTTTGCAGACCTTCATTCTGCTGCTGTATTGATGGGACCTTGTGCCCATGGGGCTGGCTGGGGAAGCCCAAGGGAATCTGGAGGATGCAGCAAGAGTAGGATCAAGCCTTGAGCTGTAATCCAGCAAGAGCCATGAGGTACTCAAATGACAACTTGTTCTGCTGTAGTCACTGAGAGGCATCTTAATAAGATCAACCTGTTATTTACCAGCTACTCCATTAGGCTGATAGACACAACTGCCTTACAGCAGGGCTTTCATGGGAGCTGCTGGTTGGGATTTGACTGTGTCATCTCTAGTTTGTGTTGTATGTGGAAGGTATCTAATGTTTTGAATGAGAGGCAGAGGATCCTGATAGCAGCATGATGATGTTCTCTTGTTATGCTGTTGGTGGGCTGCAGGTACCTGATTTTAGGCTTGCTTGCTGACAAGCACACTTGTGCTACCCCAAGGTGCACAATCATAGGATGGTTTGGGTTGGGAGGGACCTCAAAGCTCACCCAGCTCCAACCCCTGCCATGGGCATGGACACCTTCCACTAGAGCAGGGTGCTGTGGTTGTGATCTTCCAAGATGCATCTGCAAAGGTGCAAATGCTCCTATGGCAGGGGCAGTGACTGGTAAAGAGGCATTAACTAAGCTCCTCTGGTGCAGGTGCTCCTGGGTTCATGCTGATCTTATGTCTTTCTGCTTATGGCCAGAAGCAGGAAGGCTCCATCAGTTGAAGGCAGAAACCCTGCATGAGGTTGTTGCACAGTAACTTGTCCCTGGGGATGTTTCCCTGTACCTCTGCAACACTTAGATGGTCTTTACCCTACAACTCCAGTTTCTCCTGGAGCTCTTGGCTTGATTTATCTAATTGGGAATGTTCTGTCTGAATGCCCCTTCCTTGAGGGCTCTTGGTCTCTGCTATTTCTCATGAGCCCCAAAGCTCTGCAGCTGCAATCATAGAAGGGACAGGGTCTTTAGCTGTTCTTGCTGGTCTGGTGGCTGGTTACAGGCAGCCCCTAAAGAGCAGCTCTTGCTGATGGTAAAGAAGTTTCATGCTTGTTGGGAAATGTTGGAAATGGGTGTTTGGATTCCTCTGCAAATCAAATGTAAACTTGGGTTGATAATGATAAATAACAGTGGTGTTTCACATCTGTGCTTCATGCATGCTGGAAGTTGCTCTTGGCAAGTGGTGATGGACTGAGCCAGGGCAACCCAGTGCTCTGGATCCTGCTAGGGATGTTGTTAATAGGGATGATGGAGTGTTAGAAGGATCTGTGGGGTTTACCTGGTGGAAGTGTAGAGACATGCAGCAGTACAAATTCTTTTGTAACAAGGGGATGTTTGCTCTCAGACAGGGTTTGTTTGCTTCTACTGAGCAAGCACAGATTCCTTGGCCCAAGTGTAATGCTCTGCTTTCCAGAGACACCAGTGGTATATCCAGCATATACCCATCAGGACACCCAGCCTCTCCTGCCACCAGACAGAAGCTCTGTTGCTCTCCAAGGCACCCCAAAAACCTATTTGTGTAGTGCAAGAGCTCCAACCAAGCTATAAAACCCCCCAAACTCAATTGCTGGGCCATGTATCCGATAGCAGAAGCATTGAAGCAAGTAGGGCAAACTTGGAATCATTATAGTAGGAAAGAACAAAAATCCTCCCCAAAACGGGATAAAGGATGGAGAAAGGAGAGGGGGAAATGAGACAGATGTAAATGTTGTCAGGTTTGTCTGGTGTGGTGCAGCACAAGCAAGCAGGTTTGTTTGCCAATAGGGAAGACTTGCTACCCGATAGTGCTTTTTCTCCTGTCTACTTTGATGAAATACTCCTTTTGGCATCACTCTTGCAGCTTCTGACTCGAAATGCACCCCTTCTGTTTTCCATCCTGGAAACTGCCTCTGTGAACCTGAAGGTGACACATGCTGTAACAGAGCTGCCAGGAAAAGCTTTGAGATAGGGTGGAAGGGGGGAGCTGGAGACAAACCCACCCCCAAACAAAGCCTTTGTGCCACGTTTTCCTTATGTGGAATGTGGAACAGTCTGGGAGCACGACTTTGGAGACAGCAAGGCTATACCCAGCCTCATGGGTCCCATGTGCCCCAGTACCACTGCACTGGGGAAGCAGGGGATCAGCTCTGCCTGTCCAGCGCTGCTGCTGGTTGGGTTTCCCCCCATGGCCCAGTGCAGAGGCCCTGGGAGGAGCAGGCTGTTCCCTTGCAGCAGCTCCCAAGGCAGGAACGGTGCCATTGGCTGCACTCACTTTTATGTGCTTTTTTTTCCATCCCGCCTCCCTGCTATAAGTGGCCGAGCAGCCGGACAGCATCGCCTTCACCAGGCTGGGAGCGCAGCCCTGGACCAAAGCGCTCCCACCTCCCGGTGCTGAGGTCCATCCCTTCCCTCCTGGGCAGCAGCTCTCCCTCCGGCAGCCCGTAAGCACATGCCTCTGCCTCTCTCCCCCTTGAGCATCCCCTTAGCTGGGTGCAGGGAGCACTGCAGCATCCCACACTGTGGGTTTCGGGGCTTGTGCTTTGCCTTTGCTCTGCTGGGGAAGGGTTTGTGAGAGCAGGGTGGGGAGAAACGAGAAGTCTGGTGGTGTATTATATGTGTATATATGGTGTGTATGTGTACATATAACGTGCTTCTGAAATGCTCTTTCTAGCTAGCAGTTCTGTTTGGATCACTGTTTGGGAACCGTCTCTGTTTTATGGGTGCTTTGGGGTGGGATTTATCTAGGTTCTTGCTTCTGAGTCTGCTTGCATCCTCTTTTCCCCATACGTGCAGGTGGTGCTTTTGGAAGTACATTTGGGTCTAAATGGAGCTTTTCTCTTTGCTTCCCAGCTGAGTGGGTGCTTTGGGAGTGTTTGCAGGGGTACAAGCTGTGTGAGAGCTGTCAGCTTTCCCAGGCAGGTGATCCCATCTGCCTCCTGGAAGCTTTTAATGGCAGCTGGGGAGGAAATAGCTGAAGAAGTGGCTGTTTGTGGGCTCCCAGGTGATGTGATGCTCAGAGAGTGGGGAACAATTCACTCTCAATCGAGGGAGCTGGCAGTGACGGAACTGGGAATGTGGGAATGCTTTTCCCTGATAATTATCCCATCTTCCTGTTTCTTTCTGTATTATGGAATACGGGGCAGTTTGTGGCAAGCTGTCCCTATGTGACTGCAAACGCCTTTGTCTTTATAAATCACTGCACCTTTGGATCTATCTGGATGTGTGGAATCACTTGCATACTGAAACTGTTCTCCCTTGTGTTTACAAGATGGGTGTTTCTGTCACTAATCTTTAAGTGGTCAAAAGATAAGTTAATGCCTGTGACTGGTCCAGTTTGCGTTGTGTAAGCAGGAGCTAGGCTGTGGCTTAGGAATGGATGTGGCTGCTTTTCAAATCACTGAAATCCAGCTTGTGATAAGGGGGAGGAGGAAATGATCAAACTAATCCACCTACCAAACAGTCCTGTACCTTGTTTTGAGAGGAAGAGCATTTCTGTAACAACAAAAACCCTTCTGAAAGGAAACTGATTACATTCTTCAGCCAGGATGTACAAAGCAAGGAGCTGACCAAGCCACCAAAAATGGCTTGAAGATTATAACGTCTCTTTTCTAATGATGAAAGCATCCCCATCACTCCACTGACATCCTCCTCTCTTCCTCTTTTCCTTTTATTCCCCTAGGTTCAGTGTTCTTGAATAAAAACCAGTTCTTGATTTCTCTTTAAAGAGCTCAGGAGATAGAGACTCATTCAGGACTAATACCCACTCGTGTATTAGTCCACTTGGGTGATGGAGCAAACACCACAAGTGCCAAACCCCTCAAAAGCTCAGTGAGTTAACGGCTCAGATTTTGGGCTGTGGCTCTGAGGAACAAGCTCAAGGGTGGGTTTTTACAGCTGGATTAGGACCTGCACTGCTCTTACGGATTTTGGGTTTAGAGAGGTTTGTACGATTGGGTCCTTGAAGTGTTTCTATGAGGAAAAGTTGGTTCCTGCTGTGGCTGATGGCTTGCTCCATGTATAGATCTCTGGCTGATGTGAAGACCAGCAGCAGTTCAAAAGGAGGCAGGGTTTAGGGTACTCAGACACTTGGAAACAAACAGTCCCCAGCCCATCTGTGCTGGCCTTTAGTTTGGAAACAGCCTTTCCATCGATCCGTGAATGGGAAATCCAGGCATGGTCTGAAGCTGCTGTTAGGAGTCCTGTCAGGTGCCTCTCTGTGCCCATGAATAGGGATTGATGCTGTAGGATGCACTTTATCTCTGATCTAAACCTGTATCAGGTGAATATCTTAATGATCATAGAGGTCTTTTCTAACCTAGTTGGTTCTATGAATATGGACTTACAACCCACACCCATTGCATGAGGATGTGATAAATGCTTCAAGTAACTGCCCTCAAGAAGCAACTTATTCCCCTTTGTGTAATACCTGTGTGATGAGGTCCTTGTTCCATGGCACAGGATATCCCACAGCCCTTTCTGTGCTGGTGGAAATCTATGCTCCTTTGGTGTGGATTTTGGTGCCACGGCTGTGAATTATCTTCCCCAATTCCATCTTGCAGTCACTACCAGTAAATAGTGTCCTAGCACTGGGAAGGAACTGGGACATGGCTGAAACCTCCAGTGCTGCAGAGTGATGTAAGCCAGGAAGAACTTTGTTCCCTCAGTAGTAGCCTGTGGGAACTGCATCCCTTTAAGTTTACTCTCTGTCCAGGGGATGCACTGGGGATTTAGGTGTCAATTCCTTAAGGAACCTGGGAAAATCCCTCTGATCTTGGCAGATGAGAAAATCCATGGAAACAGACTCATAGAATGGTTTGGGTTGGAAGGGACCTCAAAGCTCCTCCAGCTCCAACCCCTGCCACGGCAGGGACCCCTTCCACTGGAGCAGCTTGCTCCAAGCCCCTGTGTCCAACCTGGCCTTGAGCACTGCCAGGGATGGGGCAGCCACAGCTTCTCTGGGCACCCTGTGCCAGCGCCTCAGCACCCTCACAGGGAAGAGCTTCTGCCTAAGAGCTCAGCTCAGTCTCCCCTCGGGCAGGTTCAAGCCATTCTCCCCTATAAAGTCCCTTAAGGAAGGAATGAGTTGCTCAGTGCAGGGAATTAGTCCTGTGGTGTCTAGAGGCAGTCACAAAGTTGGGCTAAAATGAGGTCTGTACCATGTTCTCACCCTCTCCAAACCCTGTAACCTGAAGGTCTCCTATGAGAGAGCTGCTGCTTGAGCTATTCCCCACAGCAGCTTTGCTCTGTCCAAGCTGTGATGTGGAAAGCACAAAAAAGCCTTCTTGGTGGGGCAGTGTTCACCCTTCCTGGGCATCCCTGCAGTGTATCCAGAAGTATGATTTGGTCCTTGACGCTCTGAGTGATTCAGGTGTGTGTGTGTGGTGCCAAGGGCGCTACCAGGGTGTATTCACACTGCTGGAGTGCAGCATGGTCCCAGGGGTGGGTGGATGGATGTATACTCCTGAGCTCCTCCAGCCTTTTTATCAACTTTGATGAGATGGAAAACAGGGTTTGTGTCCTACGGTAGCACAGGGCTAAAATGACATTTGGGCCTTGGGATCTATTTGCAAGCAGGGCATGGATTGTGTTACAGCCCTGTTGGAATGGGATAAACGGGGTCCTGAGGAAGCACGCTTTTAAAAAGCCTGACTTAAAGAGGTTGGAGAAGAAGGATGGGGCTCCTGGCAGTGGCAGGGCTTGGAAGCTGGCATCTTCCTCTGCTCCTGCCTGGCAGGGTGAAGGCAGAGTTTCAGTTCTGCTTTGGCGGCTGTTCCAGAACTGCCTTATTTCTGTGAATAGGAAACTCAAACCCTCCCATCCTCCCCCTGAGTGATGCTCCCACTCCTGCCACACACGTCCCATAAGGTGACCGATACAATGGGATGCATCCTTCTTCCTCAGCCGGCTGTTTGGCACGTGAGTAGGCAGCCAACAGCCGCTAACTGGGAGGGATGTGTGTGGCATGGATGCGCTTGTGGTCTGTTTGGATGAGAGCAGCAGTAGTCACCCACACCCCTAAGGAAGAGCAGGAAAAGCTATTCCAGCTGGGAACAAGCACTGCAGGGCAGCTTTTCAGCTCCCTTGTTTCTAGCATCTTTCCACCCTTGGGAAGGGGAAACTGGAGCAGAGTGGAAAGAGGAGCCTAAAACCTGTCTCACAGGAGACAGCCATAGAGGTTTAATGATTCAACCAGTATGTTTCAGAGCCCATTTCACTTGCTGAACTGCAGAGGTACAGTGAAATGAGTCTGTTCTGTGGTACAGAGGTGTAGATGGGGAGGAAGAACAGGAGAAATAGCTAATAATGATAACCAAAGGCCTTTCTTCCTGGGAAACCTCCTGCTTGTCTTGAAGACATCAGAGAACTTCATGCTTTATGCTGCCTTGAAATAGGGGAAGCTTCAAATCAGATGCTGGCTAGTTCTAGCAGTGTCTGCCTACTAAAATAGGTCTGAAACCACTGTTAACCAGCAATTGCACATGCTAGGTTTGCTGAAGACCTCCTGTTGGGGTCCTGGCTGGTACAGAGACCTATAACCCTGAACCAGCTGCCCAGATGAGTGTTCCACCAGCATCTAAGCAGCAGAGGACTGCAGAGCTTCTGGCAGAGCAAGAATTGCTCTTCATTGTTTCACTTGGCCAGAGATAGCAAAGCAGCCCCCTCACTCCTCCGAAGCTCTGCCTTATGAACCAGGGTGCTGCATGTGCCCTGGTCCTTCCTCTAAACCCATGGCTGGACCAGCCCACAGTGGTTGCCAGTTGGCTTTCCTGCAGGGAATTGTCCCCCAGCTCTTCCCCAATGCCTTCATGTGGGGTTATTCAGTTTTCACGTGCTTCCAGTGGTCCACCCTAAATAGCACTTCCCCAGTGGTGACAGGATGCTGGGGTGGGAGAAAAACAGATCCTTCCTCTTCAAGGAGTGCCTCAGGTTGTGGGAACCATTCTGACTTGGCAGGCCGCTTGCAAGGCATTTGCTGTTTGTTTAGCTTGGGACTGGCTGCCCCTGGCAGTTGTTACCATCAGCTGCATTTCTTATCTGCTCTTTCCTATAATAAACACTGGAGCAGAGGTTTGGAATTAGTCACTTCGGAGGCACTGCCTGTCTCCAGCTTCAGTCTGATCGTCTCGGTTGTGTTCTCTCGAGCCATTTCCACTTCGTTCTGTGCCTCTTGGTTTGCCCTTCTTCTTGTTACATTGGCACAGCAAGGAGGTTTGGGTATATCCCATAGGTATGTCGTTCCCAGCACTGCCTGCATCCCAGAAGACACACTGCCCTGGGACAGCTGCTGGGTGCTACAGGCATTTTCCAGTGTGACTTACCTAATCCATCAGATGGGCTGGATGAGCTGTTCTGGCTGGGGGCTGCTCAGATGACAGCACTGGAGGCAGTGCTAGGATCCTGGCAGCATCCTGCAGGCTTGGCACCGCATCCTGCTCTTTAG